CCAAGAGAAATTCCTTGTGTGTCCAATCACACCTGTCCAGTAAAGAATTCTATTCTATCTATTCTATTCTATGATAGGTAGATTGGTAGGCAGGCAGGCAGGCAGACAGGTAGATTAGACGATAGATTAGATGTATAAGTTTACTTTAGATTACTTGTATCTTATGATTCTTGATGAATGTCTCTTTTCTCTTTATGTACACTGAGAGTTTGTGCACCGAGGACAAATTCCTTGTGTGTCCCATCACGCTTGGCCAATAAAAGAATTCTATTCTTTTATTTTGTTCTTCCAGATCTCCAGAAGAAGGCCTTCATTTTTCCCGCAGCTTCTCGCGATGCCTTCGTGCGTCTGAATGTCCCACTTCAAGAGCCTTTGACCAGCCTCTCTGTCTGCCTGAGGCACCACTGCCCACTCTGGCGCCCTTATTCCCTCTTCTCTTATGCCACCCGGTCCAGTGACAACGATTTCCTGATTTTTAAGGACAGGCCCGATGTCTATTCCATTAGCATCGGCGGCTCGGATGTCCGTTTCAAGATTCCTAAGCAAGAGATTCCCCGTTGGGAGCACATCTGTGTCTCCTGGGACTCCAAAAATGGCCTGATCAACTTTTGGCTCAACGGAGTTCTTCTCCCCCGTTTGGGAGCCAAAAAGGGTCACAAGATCAGCCACCAGGCTTCTATCATGCTGGGGCAGGACCAGGATACTTTCGGGGGAGGCTTTGACATCAACCAGTCCTTCATGGGGGACATGTCGGAGGTCCACATGTGGCCCCAGGTGTTGACCACCGAGGACGTTAGGTTGCTCCTGAAAGATGACGCCGTGCCCAACCCTCTGGCCAGTTGGAACTCTTTTAATTACACGATTCAGGGTTATGTGGTCCTTACGGATGAAGTGCCTTAGGCTTTTCCCCCAACGGAAGACCTGCGCTTGGAAAGAAAGGAAAGAAAGAAAGGAAAGGAATTCTCCTTGAGAAAAAAAAAAGAAGAAGAAAGCGTAGTTTTAGCATCTTGCCTGTTTGAAGTAGATCGTGATTGATATGTAGACGATACACGCCCGAAAATCACTAGCGGGCATTATTCTAATCTGCTTGTAATAAAATAAACCGCTTGTTCATGATAACGTCGGATTTTTCTCTTCTCTTTATTTTAATCGTGCAATGTGGATCCAAGGAACAAGGGCTTCTTTCCTTGCGGGGGGGGGTGATTTGAACTTTCTTTCTTTCTTTGTTTTTTTAAATACACTGCTCAAAAAAATAAAGGGAACACTTAAACAACACAACATAATTCCAAGTCAATCACACTTCTGTGAAATCAAACTGTCCACTTAGGTAGCAACACTGATTGACAATCCATTTCACATGCTGTTGTGCAAATGGAATAGACAACAGGTGGAAAGCAGAGGCAGTTAGCAAGACATCCCCAATAAAGGAGTGGTCCTGCAGGTGGTGACCACAGACCACTTCTCAGTTCCTATGCTTTCTGGCTGATGGTTTGGTTACTTTTGAATGCTGGCGGTGCTTTCACTCTAGTGGTAGCGTGAGACAGAGTCTACAACCCACACAAGTGGCTCAGGGAGTGCAGCTTATCCAGGATGGCACATCAATGCGAGCTGTGGCAAGAAGGTTTGCTGTGTCTATCAGCGTAGTGTCCAGAGCATGGAGGTGCTACCAGGAGACAGACCAGTACATCAGGAGACGTGGAGGAGGCCGTTGGAGAGCAACAACCCAGCATCAGGACTGCTACCTCCGCCTTTGTGCAAAGAGGGACAGGAGGAGCACTGCCAGAACCCTGCAAAACGACCTCCAGCAGGTCACAAATGTGCATGTGGCTGCTCAAACAGTCAGAAACAGACTCCATGAGGATGGTATGAGGGCCCGACGTCCACAGGTGGGGGTTGTGCTCACAGCCCAACACTGTGCAGGATGTTTGGCATTTGCCAGAGAACACCAAGATTGGCAGATTCGCCACTGGCGCCCTGTGCTCTTCACAGATGAAAGCAGATTTACACTGAGCGCATGTGACCGACATGGCAGGGTCTGGAGACGCCGTGGAGAATGTTCTGCTGCCTGCAACATCCTCCAGCATGACCGGTTTGGCAGTGGGTCAGTAATGGTGTGGGGTGGCATTTCTTTAGGGGGGTGCACATCCCTCCATGTGCTTGTCAGAGGTAGCCTGACTGCCATTAGATACCAATATGAGATCCTCAGACCCCTTGTGAGACCATATGCTGGTGCGGTTGGCCCTGGGTGCCTCCTAATGCATGACAATGCTAGACCTCATGTGGCTGGAGTGTGTCAGCAGTTCCTGCAAGACGAAGGCATTGATGCTATGGACTGGCCCGCCCGTTCCCCAGACCTGAATCCAATTGAGCACATCTGGGACATCATGTCTCACTCCATCCACCAACGCCATGTTGCACCACAGACTGTCCAGGAGTTGGGGGATGCTTTAGTCCAGGTGTGGGAGGAGATCCCTCAGGAGACCATCTGCCACCTCATCAGGAGCATGCCCAGGTGTTGTAGGGAGGTCATACAGACACGTGGAGGCCACACACACTACTGAGCCTCATTTTGGCTTGTTTTAAGGACATTACATCAAAGTTGGATCAGCCTGTAGTGTTTTTTTCCACTTTAATTTTGTGTGTAACTCCAAATCCAGACCTCCATGGGTTGCTCAATTTGATTTCCATTGATATTTTCTGTGTGATTTTGTTGTCAGCACATTCAACTATGTAATGGACAAAGTATTTAATAAGAATATTTCATTCATTCAGATCTAGGATGTCTTATTTTTGTTTTCCCTTTATTTTTTTTGAGCAGTGTATATTTTTTATTTATTTTCTCTTTGCATACAACATGTGCTTAATGAACAGCATACGGTCTGAATCCATTCACTTACATAGTTTAAATACTTATTGAGTTCCTAATTTCTACCTCTTTTATGCAACTGTTGATAAAACAAGCCCCAAATTTGAAAATAGCCTGGGTCGTCTTTTTCTTTTATCTTCTTCAACTTTTCTTCTGTTACATCATCATCATCTTGTAACAATCCCATAATCCCTTGTGGGATGGAGTCCAGGCAACTGAACGGAGCTAGCAGAGTGTTTTACTGGCCGGATGCCTTCCTGTTGCCAATGAGGAGTTTTGTACAGCAGATAAATTCTCAGTGTGCCCAAAGAGAGAAATATCTGGCTCTACCTAGGATTGAACTCACAGCCTCCTCAGAGTTCCACCTATTTTGGTTGCCGCCACACACTGCGGGCTCATATTTAACTGGTTGTCCACTAAGACTCCAAGGTTCCTCTCCCAGGTACTGCTATTAACCTGGTTTCACCCGGTCTATAGGCGTACTTTTGGTTTTTCCTGCCTAATTTGCATACCAATGGCAGCCAAAAAAGAGAAATTAAAAATTGGGTGTGAATTGCATTACTTAGCCACGTAAATTCTGGCCTCCACTGGGGTCCTAAGTTGGAGCTCCGCCAGAAGAGAGAGACATGTGAACTCCCTTGAATTCAATTAAAAGTGAGCGTCAAAATGAATTAAAATAAAAGCCAGCGTACAATTGGATAGGGTCAAAAAGTTGACGTGACTTGAATATCCTGGCCAAGGATCCAGAAACGGAGCCTCTGAATAATAACTGTCTTTGTTTGAGGTTAAAGAGGAATATCAGAGCAACGTCAACAAGTGACTTGAGATGTTTGTTTATTTATCTATGGATCCATCAATCAGACTGACAGACTATTAGGGTGGTTGATTAAGTCCTGATTAAATGAAACCCATTCAACTGGGGAAACAGAAATGTCAGCTCAACCTGCCCCTTGTTCTAAGTTCAAAAGAAACATCAGCGTCATTCATTTGAGAAGTTGATTTGATCCTGCAAGGAGAACACGGCTCATCACCCAAAGACATCAGCCAAAGAGTTCCTGCAAACAGCCGGTTCCTCCTTCCTTCCTTCCTTCCTTCCTTCCTTCCTTCCTTCCTTCCTTCCTTCCTTCCTTCCTTCCTTCCTTCCTTCCTTCCTTCCTTCCTTCCTTCTTATCCTTGACTGCCTGTCAGGATCCTTTGGCCAAAAAGGTGAGGCTTAAAACCCACCTGTCCATTGAAGGCCCTGTGGTCTCCAGAAGCTGGGTGAAATCTGCTGAACTTTTCTGGATCCAAAAGAAATAATGCCCGGGGCACCTTATAATTCCCCCCTGTCACTTGTCAAAACAGGTGGGACTTGTCAAAAAGCTTTTCCCACCTGACTTGCTCAGGGCTCAAACGCCGCTTATCTGTCCATTGTGTTGCTAGCAGCTCTCCTTCACCTCTCCCACTACCCAATCTTTGGCAGGGGTCCTGCTAACGGAGATGTTGTCAGCTTTGGAAACCGTATTTTACTTAGAGAATGGAGATTGCTTAATTATACCTTTACCTTCTACCTTGTAGGGTTACAGCTTCTCTTTTTAGTTCAACCTTCACCAAAGTGGCTAACTCCACCTGAGTAGCTTTCAACTCCAGGAATTCTCAGTCAGCATGATCACAGCTGAGAATCTTGGATCTTGAAGACCACGTTCTGGACACCATCACCCTGAATTCCCTAGCTGGTGAAGATAACAGATAATAGATAACAGATAATCAGAGTTGGAAGGGACCTTGTAGGTCATCTAGTCCAACCCCCTGCCCAAGCGGGAGACCCTACACTATATCTGACAAATGGCAGTCCAATCTCCTCTTGAAAGTCTCAAGTGATGGCGCTCCCACAACTTCCAAGGGCAAGCTGTTCAACATCATCAATGCTTCAGAGTGGACACGTGGAACCCACATATCTGACATGGGTCCAGTTAAGGGAAGGATGATGTTTTGACGTGGAAAAAAACCACGGGAAAGATAAGAATATCCTGGGCAGGGATCCAGAATGGCGATTATGCATAATAACTGCCTTTGTTTTAGAGTTAAGAAAAACATCAGATCAATGTCATAGAGTTCGTGTGATATGAGGCGTTTGTTCGTTTATCTGTGGATTGATCAATTGAGTTATTCGGATGGTTGATTGAGTCCTGATTAAAAGTGTTATCCTTTCATTCATGGAGCAACTGGGAAAACAGAGGGGACAGCTCAGCCTGCCTCTTCTTCTAATTTAACTTCAAGAGGGTGTCATCGTTCTAGAAGCTGATTTGGTCCTGCAAGGAGGACACAGCTCCGTGCCCAAGGACATCGGAACAAAAGTTCCCGCGACCAGTCGGTTCCTCCCACATCCACCAAGATGGTCCTCCTTCCTTCCCTCCTTCTTATCTTCGCCTGCCTGTCAGGATCCTTCGGCCATGAAGGTAAGGCTTAAGCCCATGTAGGAGCAGGTCCACCGATCCATGTTGGTCTGGTGGTCTCCAGAAGCTGGGTGAAGTCTGATGAACTTTTCATTGGCCCATCCTGCTTGCTAGGCATGCTTTTAGTTCTGTTTGCTTGAGCTGCTAATAGAGCTATAAATCCCTTTATTGGCTTATTCTTTCTGGATCGAAAAGAACCAACAGCCAGGGCACCGGATCCTTTCCCTGACCCTTGGCAAAACAGTTGAGGTTTGTCAGGCAGGTTCTCCCGCATTCCTTTCTTGCTCAAGGCTCAAGTTCCTTTTTTCCTGTCCACTGTGTTGTTGGCAGCTCTCCTTCACCAGATCTTGGGCAGGTGTTCTGAAACCAATAATAACCAATAATCAGATTATGGCCATGTTCATAATTTATCACTTGTGGCTTGTACAGTATGTGCACGGTGAGCTTCTGTACAGGAGACAAATTCCTTGTGTGTCCAATCATGCTTTGCCAATAAAGAATTCTGTTCTCTTCTCTTCTATTCCTCTATTTCTATTCTGTTCATTTTTATTTTTTTTTGTAGATAAAGTTTTTTTATTTTTAAACACAAACATACGCATACAAAAACATAAAAACATAAAATCCTCTTCCATTTTATATACATACAGTGTGTCAGTTGGTTACGGGTCTTTTGTGCTATACTTTTGTAGTCATTTACTCACAATTTATATCAATCTTCACATTGTCAAACTAACATATGTTTATATATTTATCAGTTATTAATCATCCATGACTAAACTATTTATTCCATCATTTTATATGAGTTGTTCCACATTTTATCTT